CAGCTGCGTGCGACAATGTGTTACATAAAGAATTGTGTGTTGTGTTTTGCAAAAAGTGTTTTATGAAATTGAAATGAGTCAAAGGCAGAGAATTAGTGTATGGTTTTGCAGATTTGGTATGTGGCTCTGGTGTTTGAGTGTCAGGTTTTAGAAATTGTGTGACGAGTAAAGATTTTGTGTGCAAGCAGCTGAAAAAAGACTGTAAAGTAGTTTGTTCTGCTCACCGGCGGCTTTAGGCAGCAGCTGCTGCATGCGGCTGTGGAAGCGCTGCTCTGTGGCGTCCTCCTCCGGCAGGAACAGGTACTGCTGAACGGCGACCAGCTGCTGCTGATGGACCCAGGTCTGCGTGTAGTATCCGGCATGCTGGAACACATGAGGCTCGTCTGCTCCAAAGCCGTCGGACAGCAGCGAGTTCTGGTTGCTCTTGTGATAGGACGAGGAGAGCGTGCCCAGACTATCCACGCTGTGCAGGTCGTGCCGTGAGGCCAGCGCTTCGTCGTCCAGGATGTCGGTCTCGCGCTCCTTCGGTGCATTCTCGTGGCTCGGTGGCGGGCCCAAGAGCGGCGGCTCCGTTGCGGTGCAGCCTCGACTCGTCTCGTCCAGGCCGAAGCCACTGAGCAACCGCTTGAGCTCCACACGCTCCTGCTGGCTGGGCTGCGGGGTTCTGGGCCAGCCGTCGGTGCGCAGCGAGGCACTGGACAAGCCTGAGTCGCTGCTGGCCGAGAGCGTGTGGTCAGGACTGGAGGAGAGCGTGGCGCTCCTGCTGCCGTTCCTCCTCACCGAGCATCGGTCCAGTGTGAGAGCAGGAGACTGGAGAGGAGTCGCTGGAGAGAGAAGAGATGAACGTGACTCACTGATCACAAACACAACACTGCATGAGGGAAACAATCAATCAACATTTATTTATATAGCACATTTAAAACAACACCAGTTGATCAAAGTTCTTTACATGTTTAAAAGTTACTCAAACAGACACAATACACAACAATATCCATCAGTATCCATCACTGTTCAATGTCCCAAAAGCTAGGGGCAACTGTATGCCACGGTTGCCGTGATTTTGCCAAGTAAGACATGATTCTGGATCAACATAAATGTCCAAAAATACAGACTTAACCCAATCCCTACCCCTAAACCTAATCTTACCCATAATTTATTCCTAAAATCAGAGGGAAATGATAACTGATTAACAAGGCTGTAGAAGCACCTAATCCTGATCGTGAGCCTAAAACAGATATTTCCTGAAAAGTTATCCCTCAATTCTGATTGGTTGATTGGAATGTTGTTCCAGGATCAACAAGGATGTTGATCCAGGAACATGCTGTACTTGGTGAAATCACGTTCACCGTATGCCACAGAGTAAAGGTGTGTTTTCAACACACGGAGACTTTTTTGAACGGAGACTATTCCAAAGACGTGGGGCTGCCACAGAAAACGCTCGATCTCCTTTGGTTTTCAGACGTGTTTTGGGAACATGTAAAAGCAAACCCTGTGAAGATCTTAGAGGTCTAGCAACACAAGCCTGCTGTAACAGACATGAAATGTACTCCGGAGCAAGGCCATGCAAACCTTTAAAAACCATTATCAAAGTTTTATATTGGACTCTAAAACCAACAGAAGCCAGTGCAGCGAAGCCAGCACCGGAGAAATGCTGGACCTTGTGCCAGTCAACAGTCTAGCTGCAGCCGTGAGAGCAGATCCTTAGACAACCCTAAATATAACGAGTTGCAATAATCCAATCTGGATTAAATAAAAGCATGAATCACGGTTTCCATGTCCTCAAAAGTCAAAATTCTCTTTAATTTGTCAATGATTCATAATCGATAGAAGCTACTTTTAACCACAGCATTGACTTGTCTATTAAACTTAAACTCAGAGTCAAAGATTACACCAAGGTTTCTTACTTGAGTGTTGACATTAGTGGCCAAGGAGCCTAGATGTACAGAAAGCTCTTTGGCTAACTTTGGACGGCCAAAACTCACCACTTCCGATTTAGACTCATTGAGCTGCAGAAAACTAGAAGCCAACCATGCCCTTATTTCATCCAAACACTCAAACAAAGTTGAAATATTAAATTTCATATATTTGCAAAGTATATGTAATAATATTACAACAAACAAGGATCCTTGAAACAAACCAACAAACAATCCTTGAAACAAAGATCATTGTGAAGCAACTCATGCTGTTCACTGTCATCCACCACATGAAAAGTGCATTCAATGTGCGTGAATTAAAGTGTAACTGCATTTTTGGTATTGCATCTTTGCTCCAAATTGATGTTCTGTTGGTTTCTTCCTGTCTGGTTCTTCCTGTGGTTCTGGTTCCTCCTTCAGTCTGTCTGGCTCAACAACACACATGGGACAAACTACATGCTGGAGTCTCATACTAGGTCTAGTGGTTTGTTCAAATCACTTGCACCAGCTAGCGATGCTAGCCTGAGGAAGCAGCACTAAAATCAATTCACGGTATTATCGTTAGTATTGTTATTCCTGCAATCTTTGCACACACAGGGCAAACTCTGCAAAAGACAGCACTCTACCACTATTATCTGATGGTTTGCTGTAACCCGTGGACTGGCATACAGACAGACACAGAACTCAGGACAGTGATGGTGCAGAGATGTTGAATTTCTGTGAGCTTTGAGTCACTTCAGCGTGTGCATGTGAAAACAGGGCCTGAAGTCTGCTGCAGGAATGCTCCTCAGAATGGGGCGTCTGTTTGTGCTTGATCAACCCCTCGTCATTAAAGGAGCTGGAACTTGTTTCCAAGAATGCGTTTTATGCAAAACAGCTGTGGGGGACCTGTGACTGTGGCCAGACTATTCCTGTGTTTGTGAGATTGAGACGGGTGTGAATTCTGCAGTGCACATGAAGTCCTGCCATGAGCCTCACCTCAGTCAGAAAAAGATGCATGGACTCTCGGGGTGGTTTCAGCGTGTGTGTGTGTGTGTGTGTGTGTGTGTGTGTAAAACAGCAAAGCCACAGTACAGAAAAAGACACAGACTGAATGTTGCCCAACTATGCAAAACAACAAATCATTTAAGGCGAGCTCAGGCAGCAGATGTGATATCATAAAACTGAAGTAAGGTTACCTGTGCTTTAAAAGGACAGTGGGGTTGTACAGTAGGTAGAGGTGGGTGATATAGCGGTAAACACAATTAACCGGTAGAGATTTTGGACTATTGTCTCTATCGCGGTTATATGCTCATGTGACATTGCTGTGCTACATGTTCACGAAAACTTATCGTTTGCACGCGTTTTAAGCATTGCGATTTAAAAAATTGATTTTAAGCTGCTTGAAACGCAATCAGCAGCAAAAGAAAAGTCATTTGGCTATCTAAGATTCGTGAAGACGGTGCTCATAGAGCGTGGGAGTATTGAACGGAGCTATTTTTGCCGCTTTATAGGCCTTGAACAGTTAAATACACACACTTGTATGTCAAAATGCCTGACTTTTCAAGTGAAAGCAAACAGCTTGGAAAGAAAACATGTTTATTGGATCCGGGCAGCTCTTAAAGTGACAGCAGTCTAATATTCCTGCAGTCTGTCATTCATGTTCATCAAACAACAAAAGACAGAAAATCTCTCACTGCTCTTGACTAAATCACTTTTGTAACTTTAATAAGAAGAAATGATGCAGAATCTGCAGTGTTTTTATTCATTTGATTACTTTATACAATGTATGTAGCATTTCTTATTTATTTTTTAATCATCAATATTTTTGTCATATTGCTTGTAAGTAGTTTCTTATTCTTATTTAATCACTGACTGTTTACTTGTCTTCAGTGAGCTTGAGTTTTTGTTTGTTTGTTTGTTTGTTTTTTACTCATATTTTGATATAAGACTTTGGTCATATTGTCCACCACTAACAGTAGGGGTGTGACAATGCATCGATATGGTCTGATGCAGCATGTAAAAAATCTATTTGTTTCTATTTCTATTTCTGAAAGTAATAATAAAATGCGACTTACACAAATGTAACTTGGGGTGTGGCTACTGCAACAGGCTGAGTTTAGGGCGTGGCTTTTTGATGGAATGTTTGGGTTTCAATTAAGATGCCAAACTTGTGCAGTTTCTTCTCAACAGGTAAGCTAAACTCAAGTTTTTATAATGCACTATTGCTCATATGATATTGCTTTTATATTACAGATCAACAGACAAGTATGTTCGATATATTTAAATAAGTAAGGAAGCACAACGGTGGTCACCAAAGACCCTACTTTTCTTTTTATGCCACGGATTCATGAACTGCTGTTGCTAGTTTAAAAGATGTGACTAAGCCTTATTTGGACACATGTTTGAAACTAATTTTAAAACTAATACCAATTTGGTTACGTGAATGATTAAATGACTCACTGATGAAGACTTCTCTCACTTGTTTCATTCCCTAAAGAATCAGTATTTTTAATGAACCAGTTAAGTAAATGATTCAACGACTCACTCACACAGTCATTTGTTGCCACCCACTGGTGTAATAGTGCAACCTGCAGAAAGAATCACTGTAGATCAATTAGACGATTATATCAGAACTCCTAAAGAGCAGATTTTAGGACCAGAACTTACAGTTGTGTGTATTTAAAACAGGATACATACAATACCCAAGTACAACTCCTATTTTCGAACCTAATTAAGTTGCTGGACACACTATAATATAAAACAAGTAATAAACATTTGTTCTTTTGTTTCTTTATTGTTAGTGTAATATACAATATGACAGTAAAACATGTTCCTGATAAACAAACAACAAACTCTGGAGTATCTTTGAGGTGATTGGAGCGTGTATGTGTAGCCAGCTCTCCATCAGCAACATATAATCTCAAGCACATGTCCTTCCTTTTATAAATAAGCATTAAAATCTTCCTACCTTCTGCAGTGCAGATGTTCTGGTAGGAGTTCCATTTAGAGAGTGAATCTGTGCTCATGTAGTCGACGGTCACATCTGGACCGTTGTGCCAGCGCTCTGAACCTGAGTGAACAACAGACTGATGGATAACAGCTACACCGCCGGCCCTCGTGTGTGTACAGCACTGCCAACAGCACATGACATGTGGAGAAACTTCAGCATTACCTGACAACAACACAGAAAAACCCACCTGAAATTCTTTCTGGGCCATCAGAGAACACCAACTCCACTTTCCCATAATCTGGAAATCTGGCATCTGAAATTGAAACAGCAGAATATCAACACAACTACATTTTCATTCCAAATAAACTCAGTGCTCCTGAATGGGTCGTTGTGTCTGTAGTGGTCAGATGGCTGACCTTTGTTAGCGTGCTCCATGTCGTCTTTCTGAAACACGAGGCTGTAGGCCTGAACGGCACCCGTGTGAAACTGAACTCTGAATATAACGTCTCGCTCAGACCGGCTGCTCTTATGGAAGCATTTCACCTGCAGACAGAAGACAGAATACTGATATGTAGTGGTGAGAAAAACACAGCATTCCTCACTGAGATAAAGGCACGGACGAACGGGATGCAGAAGTGCTGCTCTGATCACCAAATCACTGAACGTCTATCTAATGTCTTTCGTTTTCCTCCATTACGTTCACTTTCATTCTTCAGTGGTTTTTACAAGTATTTACTCTTCTTTATCTCCTTTATTTTATCAAGCATCTACATCATTTATAAACACAAAGCACTCAAACCTGTTCTGTCTGTTCATACTCTGGATTTATATTCTAGAATGTAGTCTAGTCTTAGTTTAGTCTTTAGTCTAAGCTGTCATTGTTCAGTATGCTGGCATGATTAAATGATGAAAAAGTGCATGAATTCTTTCTGTGGCTGCAGTTACACACTTGTTATTGAGAAACGTGCATCCTAAATGTTTATTTGGTGTTTATTCAGGGTTTGTTTGTACCAGAATATCTCCCTTCAGTAGCTGTGCTGGTTCGAGGGCGATGCAGATCCTGTCTCTGTGAGCGGCTCCAACGTGACTGCAAGATATGTTCAGAAATCTCAATCAAACCAGGGTTTTTATCATTAACTGAAACTAAAACTTGAAAAATGTACATTGCCTGAAACAAATTAAACATTGAACTATAATAAATCAATAAGCCACGTGAAGCCGTGGTTTACAGTGAGTTTATAACAACTAAGGGGTGTTGTTAGGTACGACGTGAAGCGGAGTTAAACCCCCTTAGCTGTTATAAATTCACTGTAAACCACGGCTTCACGGGGCTTATTGCTTTTATAAAACGGTTATTCCATATACGTAGTAAGGTTTCACAAAATAAAACAGAGCAAATAAAGTGTAATGATATTAATAAAAACAGTATTCTTCCACCAAACAATGTAGCTCCTCAGAAACAGTTGTGGTTGCTACAAAGTGGTTGCCGAGCAACAGACAAACGTAAACAAAGGTGTATGTTACTTTGTAGAGTCATTTACAACAGCTTCGAACATGGCTCAGCCAATCAGAATCAAGCACCGGAACTATCCGCTTTATAAAAAAATTTTTAATTTATTTCAGCTACTGGCCAAGGCAACATTTCTCATTTTCACTTAATTTATGTGGCAAAGTACTAAAACAACTAGAACTAAATAAACTAAAACGATGTAGACATTTGAATAAATAAACAGAAAAAAGAACAAAAAAACAATTCATAAAATGAATAAAAACAACAAAATCGCTAAAACTTTAATTAAAATAAAAATGAAAACGGAAAAGACAAATAAATTCTAATTCAAAATATTAACAAAAAACTATAATAGCATGTCAATGATACAAAAAGAACACTGAGCATGAGATATTAAATCAAACCAGAATGTATATACTCAGTCATTAATATGCAGTGATGAAGCTATTCAGACGTGAATGAACTCACTAGACTCCTGAGACAGAGACCGCCTGCATCCCCTGATACACCTTCAGATACGGCTGACACACTGCAAAACATCATGATGCAAGAGAAAGAACGGGTTATTTTTAAAACGGCTCCAGTTCTGGCTGCTGTAGCACTGGATTTCAGGGTTAAATACGTCTTTGCAGCACTTTCTTCTGTTGTGAACTAACTCGAACACATGATGCAGCTCAGAAGAGCACTGACCTCCTGCAGGGTCGAAGTGAGGGATGCCATGAATGATGATGCAGTGGAGGAAGAGAGAAGACGTGTTCATCTTGATGGAGCCGCTCAGGAGACTGCTGAGGATCCACACGTACCTGAACAAACAGCAGAGCTTCATCTGACACAGCGTTATCAAGTGTGCTCATTTATCAGGTATTCAGTCCTTCTTACATCAAGACAATTGCAATTCTATTTACTTATATATGCACTCAATCTACTCCATCTTCTGTCGTCTGATTGATAGTTTAGAGTTTTTTATCCAGTCGAAGCTCTTTTAGTGTAATTGCTTCAGCTGGAGCATCTCGTGTCAAATCTGTACTGATTTTTATCAAGTAAGCCTCAGAATAACTGCAGTAATATCTCCAGATGAACACTTACTGGACTGAAGCAGCTCAGCTTTACTTGATTCTCCGTCAATCACGTTTTAGAGTCTCAAATCTGATCCTCAGGATCTTTTGAGGAGCGTTTGTTTCCAGAAGCTTTACTTTCACTGTTCCTCAGCGGAGGAATGATCTTCACAAGCCTCCAGAACATCTCACATCTTCTGAGGAGCTTTATTTCTTCAGCTCTCAATCACTGCATTATATGTTTGGAGCATTTTAATCTCATTTTACTGAGATAGATTATTGAAGATATAGAGACGACGACTTGTATTTATATCATTTTATGTCAGTATTTGCTCTACTGTTATAAAGATCTCACTGATTTACATTATACAAGCATCAGAATATCATCATATAAATATCAGCATCTGCAGCAAATTCCATATTTTTACTCAGTTTAGGCCAATATATGTGTAAACGCAAAGAAATACTGATAATGTAAGAAGAACTAGCAAAGAAAGATGATCAGATCATCACACAGAAGAGCGTGTAGAGCTGCAGGACATGTGTGTTTGAAGTGAATCACCTTTTCTGAGACGGCGTCATCAACGCAGAAACCTTGTCATCATAGAACTTCCTCATGGCGAAGCGATCTAAAGCCTGATCCGCACTGTCAGGAAGATACGAACACAGCGTTACATCAGATTACAGCAATCACCAAATACCACAGCAGTTTTAACAAGACGTGTGTTGGGTTTGAAATGCTAAAACACTAGATGATGAAGATGAGAGCAGTCAAAACTCACAACATCAGCTGTGTGGATAAACTGTGGATCATTTATCATTGCTTTGGCACAAAATACCTTCAACGACTACATCTTTCACATTACATACATTATTTTCTCCCTCAGACACCAAAACCACCAAAACTCAATGTACTTACAGGGCAGTCTGCACATTTCCAAACTCTTTAGATAGCATAATACAAAACTGAATAAAACAGATATTTCCCACATTTCTACACTCTAAAAAATGCTGGGTTAAATACAACCCAGTCCTGGGTAAAATAGGGACAAACCCAGCAATTGGGTTGTTTTGACCCAGCGGTTGGGTTACTACCCAGAAGTTTGGGTTAAACATTTAACCCAACCGCTGGGTCAAAACAGCCCAATTGCTGGGTTTTGTCCCTATTTTACCCAGCACTGGGTTGTATTTAACCCAGCATTTTTTAGAACATTTATTGCAGTGAATCTGAACAGTACAGAGTGTCATTATTGTTCTTGTTACTAATGCTGCCTGATTTTAACTTTTTTTTTTTATGTCATTATGAGTGAAAAAGTGTGTTTGTTGGTTGACAATCGTTGCTAAAGTTATGAAGGGTTTATTTGAAACTGTATGAACTATTTTGATACATTTTGAATGAAATTAGCTGCTGTGCCAAACTGAAAGCTGGCAAGGAGAAATGTGTGAAGAGTTTAGAAAAAGTGACAAAAGTATTGAGAAATGGGCGATAAGCAATAATGATAAGCAATCACAAATATAATTTAATATCTCAGAATCAAATTAATATATAAATTTATACCAAAATAATAATAATTTTCATAAGTTAAATGAGGTAGAAATAGCTCTTTAAGGTAACAGTTACAGCGATGTGGTTCTCTACACCTGAGGTTCCTCTGACAGGAGAACTAAAAATCAGCTTGATGTTAGTGAAGAGAAAAGATCCCGCAGGTACAGACACTGGATTGAGCTTGTGTGATGATGACTGAGAGTGAGATCTGTCGGAGCGTGTGAAGAGTGAAGCTACCTGGCAGAGACGGCTGTGAAATGAACAAAGCAGGAGATGACCACTCCGATCCTGCCCTTCCCTCCCTGGTGAATCAGAGAGAGATCACGCATTACTGACACACAACACAGCTCATCCCTGGCCGAGCATGTGGTTTGGTGATAAGGCTGTATCAGATTCTCACCCTGCAGTGAATGACCACCACGTGCAGCGGATCGGCGTTCAGCCAGTCCTCTATGGCCTTACAGATGGAGCAAATCTTATCCAGAGGAGGAGCGTGGAAGTCCGGCCATCCCGTGTCCAGAGTCTGAAAGGACCAGCACATCAACACAGTTCAAATACACACCGATATCATGCTCCAGACTGGATGAGGCTGTAAAAAATTACCGTGATTTTAACGGTAAAAGACTGTAAATATTCTACAGTAAAAACCTGTTTATTGGTTAACGGTAAGCTCCCCTACTATATACAGTGAAAAACTGTATTGGACATTACATGTAATTTTACGGTAGTATACCGTTTTTAGAAGTGAAAAAGAACGTACAATTTACAGTGAATAACCGTAAGCTGACATTCCCAGAATTCCCTGCATTACATTTCACATTCGGTATAAACTATGTTTATTCTTGGTTTATTCTCATCAGTTGTGTACATTAGGATTGTATGTTACATCTGATGTTGATGTTTATTGCATTATTTCAGTTTCATGTGTGTTACCATGATGGTGTTGAGTGAATGACACTGTGCACCTTCTATATATGTTAGTATTGTGATGGGCTTTGGTTCATCATGTGACTTTCTCATCACCACCTGCTGTTGGTGGTTATCAGTGTATTACAAAGGTGCAAAACAGATTTCAGTACTTCAATAGGTTGCTATAATAACATTGTATCAGTTGATGAAAGTACGGTATTTAAATGTAAATTTAAGTTAAATCTGTAAAACCTAAAATGTGACCCTGCAGCACAAAAGCAGTCATAAGCAGCACAGGTATATTTGTAGCAATAGCCAACAATACATTGTATGGGTCAAAATTATACATTTTTCTTTTATGCCAAAAATCATTATATACAGTGGGTACGGAAAGTATTCAGACCCCCTTAAATTTTTCACTCTTTGTTATATTGCAGCCATTTGCTAAAATCATTTAAGTAAATTTTTTTTCCTCATTAATGTACACACAGCACCCCATATTGACAGAAAAACACAGAATTGTTGACATTTTTGCAGATTTATTAAAAAAGAAAAACTGAAATATCACATGGTCCTAAGTATTCAGAAGGGTGCTTCTACTAAATACTGAGCAAAGGGTCTGAATACTTAGGACCATGTGATATTTCAGTTTTTCTTTTTTAATAAATCTGCAAAAATGTCAACGATTCTGTGTTTTTCTGTCAATATGGGGTGCTGTGTGTACATTAATGAGGAAAAAAAATTAACTTAAATGATTTTAGCAAATGGCTGCAATATAACAAAGAGTGAAAAATTTAAGGGGGTCTGAATACTTTCCGTACCCACTGTATTATTCATATATTAAGATCATGTTCCATTAAGATATTTAGTAAATTTTCTACCGTAAATATATAAAAACTTAATTTTTGATTAGTAATATGCATTGCTAAGAACTTAATTTGGACAACTTTAAAGATGATTTTCTCAATATTTAGATTTTTTTGCACCCTCAGATTCCAGATTTTCAAATAGTTGTATCTCAGCCAAATATTGTCCGATCCTAACAAACCATACATCAATGGAACGATTATTTATTCAGCTTTCAGATGATGCATAAATCTCAATTTCACAAAATTGACACTTAAGACTGTTTTTGTGCTCCAGGGTCACAAATGTGGCTACCGTATTTTTTATGGTAAAATTCTGACAACCACAGCTGCCGGTTTTTTTTACCGTAAATTTTACGGGATTGTTTTTTACTGTGCACACTACCTTAGGGTTCATCTTAGTGAGCTCCTGCTTTCTCTCTGACAGGTTGATCACCTGGAAAACGAATGATGAAGAGTTAAACAGCATCAGCTCTAGACCGGAAGCCCATGATGCATGACGTAATGACAGAACTTCATCAGAGAGCGTGTCTCCTGTGTGAAAGCGTAACGGATCCTCACCAGATAGTTGTCTGCGTGTTTGGACTTGAGCATGCGTGTGACGTCTCTCAGGTTGCGCAGGTACGTCTCCTCGAAGCAGTCTTGAGGGAAGGACACGGCGATAATGCGCTCCGTCACATAGGTGAGGTCGAGTTCATATCCCTCCTCCATCTGCACACAGAAGATTTACCCTCAGATCACCCCTGAACTTCAGAAGAGCAGCACATGAAAGCTCACCAGAACAAGTATGTGACAGGAGACGGATCTCATGTGCTACACAATAGAAAATGAATGGGATCATTAATGTTGCTTTGCCACTGAACGAGGATTTAGTGGAACAGCATCTAAACTGTTTTGAAAGACAATTGCACTTATTTTTACTGAATGTGCACTTGTAGTGTACCTTAAATCTTAGTATACACTGACGTTCAAAAGTTTAGGATCAGCTAGATTTTTAATGTTTTTTTAAAGAAGTATCTTTTGCTCATCAAGGCTGCATTTATTTAATCAAAAACAGAGAAAAACAGTAATATTGTGAAACATTATCACAACTCAAAACAACAGTTTTCTATTTTAAAATACTTAAAAAAAAAAAACATTAATACTATTCTATTTTAAAATACAATTTTTTTTTTTTTTTTTGGAACCTGTAATACTTTTTTCAGGATTCTTTGATGAATAAAAAGTTTAAAAGAACAGCATTTAGTAGAAAATAAAAATATTTTCTAACAATATGTCTTCACTATCACTTTTTATCAATTTAACACATCCTTTCTGAATAAAAGTATTCATTTCTTTAAATTCTTAAAAATATTTATATATCAAAGTATAGATATTTAAAAACTGTACTTGCAGATAATATATGAATGAAATAAAGGCCACTTAAGTGACTTAAAGAGAGAACAATCTTAACAAAAAGTAAATTTCTAAAAAGTGCACTTTGTAAAATGTCAAATTAAAAATGTTACTTTAAAGTTAATTTTTAATCATTATGTTTTAATAATCTTGTTTTAACGAAGGGCCCTTATTTTGAAGTGTTGACTAATACAATAAAGCACAAGTATACTTGATTAGCTGTAGTTTAACTGTGGTGTGTTAATATATTTAAATGTACTAAATTGCAAATGTGTAAACACGTATATATTTAAATACATGACATACAGGTTTGAATAGAAAATTCAAAAAATTCAATATTTTAAAGTCTATTATTTCTGTAAGAAGTAGGCTACTCTTTTTAAAGTGTACTTCTTGTTCACAAGGGTTAACATATAGCGAGCTTCAGCACGAAAATCAGCCTTCTGTGATAGTGTTGATGAATCAGATCGAATGATGAACAATTTCACATCTTTACACAGAAAAGAACCGATTCAAAGGAACTGATTAATTTCGTGAATCATTTAACCTTTCAAAATGATATTGTAACAAACTAATTCCTGAGTTGAAGTTAAGACATCCGACACCCCACTGGATTTAATCTATTACAATATCATTCAGATGAGTTGCTATTACAGTTTTTGCCCATTGCTTACACACTAAAACCGAATGCTTAGACCAAAGCCTCAATACCTAAACTTCTTGTAGCATACCTTAAACACAGTGTAACCACACTTATTGCGAAACACTACACACGTTTTCTTAAATTAGACACTTTGTTCAAAAACGAAATCACCTGTTATCATTGGGAAAACACTCTGTTCAAAATGCAAAACTCATCTGGCAATTGTAGGCACTTACATACACACCTGAAAACACTTGCACAGAAAACAGAACACCAATCGGTCTGAGCCTTAGCACTACAAATAGGCCTCAGGTAAGCCATTTTGAGAACTTTGCAAGCATGGAGGCAATGAGAGTCAGAGTAAGAGGAGGACAAAGAGAGAGAGGAGTCGGACGTGGAAGAGGACGAGGACAAAGACGAGGACCAGTGCGGAGACGTGTATCAGATGACATCAGGGCTACTCTGGTGGACCATGTGATAAATCATGGCCTGTCCATTTTCTACAGAATGGTTGGACGACCTCCTCAAGGTGGAAGAGAACGGCTCTTCACTCAACAACAAGAGCTTACCATCATTGAAATGGTGCGAGAAAATAATGCAATCTGACTTCGTGAGTTGCAAAAACGCATAATTGCAAATAGAAATGTATTCAACAATATCAACAGGGTCAGCATTTCTACACTAAGTCGCATCCTACAGAAACATAACTTCAGAATGAAGCAACTGTACACAAAAGGTCATCAGAATGTAACAACACCACACCATCAACTGGGCCTTGAAATAAAATTACACTTTGCTTTTGCAGCATATGATTAAATGAGAACTAAGACTGACGGCTGACAGCACTTCATACTAACTCAAATACTCTCACATTAGTTGTATATATATAGGTAACACTTCAGTATAGGCACCAATTCTCACTAATAACCTGTTGCTTATTAGCATGTCTATTATTAATATTTTGGCTGTTTATGAGGCATGATCATAGTCTACATCCTTAACCCTACCCAACAACTAAACTTAACAACTGCCTTAATATTAATAAGCAGCAAATTAGGAGTTTATTGAGGCAAAAGTCATAGTTGATGGGTTGTTAATAGCAATAACTGGACCTTGAAATAAAGTGTGACCTATATATTTATATATTATAATACCAATAACTCAATATACTGTTGGTCAGATCATTCAAAACAACAGAAGACGAGTCCACTGACAGCAAATGTGACTGTATACTGTGTGATTAATTCTGACTTTGCATTCACTGAAATATTTAATATAACTCCATATTCATAATATTTCTATACTATCAAACTCATTATCTGTGCTCACTTTGATTACATGTGTTGTCAAACGCTTGAATGTACCATCGACACTGATATTATAAAGTCTCACAAGCTATAACACGCTGTCAGTGAGCTTCAAAAACTTGGAGAACATTTTCAAAGCAAACTGACCGAAAGTCACACTAAAACAAAACATCTTCAGCGCTGATCTGCAACCTCTTCTGAGAAAGAGCTGGAGTTACTGAAAAGCTGAAAGCCCAAGATCATCCGTCTGTTTGGCAGCTGCATGTGAATATGAAGCAGGAGAACAGAAGGAGCACGATACAGACCGAGGAGGACCTGATTGAGTCATCAGGAGCTGCATGTGCTCATGGAGACTGTAACTGATGCTAAAGCACTATGTTCTATGACTGTGAAGGACTGTGTCTGATTCATTCATCTGCACTAAATGTGATCCTGGAGCACAAAACCAGTCATACGTAGCACGCAGAGGTGGACAGTAGTGAAGTAGTTTTACTTTACTCAAGTAAATTTAAAAAGTATCTGTACTTTTCTTTTTGAAAAACTTTTACTTCTCTACATTCCAAAGCATAGTGTACTTGTTGCTGCACTACATTTCATAAATAAAAGTTGTTGTTTTTTTTACCTTTAATACTTAAGAACATTTCAAATGTAGCACTTTCTTGTACTCAAGTAATCTTTGAATTAGTACTAGAAGTACTAGATTTCTAATGTAATTAAGTATTAAATTATATTTAATAAGAAGCATAGTGCAGTAAAAAGTACAATATTATGCTCTGGAATGTTGTGAAGTAAAAGTTTTCTAAAGAAAAACACTGATAAAGTACAGACACTTGAAAAGTACTTTTACAGCAGAGTAAAAATACCTCTGCACAGGTGTATTTGTAGCAATAGCCAACAATACATTGTATGGGTCAAAATTATCAATTTTTATAAAATGCCAAAAATCATTAGGATATTAAGTAAAGATCATGTTCCATGAAGATATTTTGTAAATCTCCTACCGTAAATATATCAAAACTTAATTTTTGATTAGTAATATGCATTGCTAAGAATTTAATTTGGACAACTTTAAAGGAGATTTTCTCAATATTAAATTTTTTTGCACCCTCAGATTCCAGATTTTCAAATATTGTCCTATCCTAACAAACCATACATAAAATGGAAAGATTATTTATTTAACTTTCAGATGATGCATAAATCTCAATTTCCAAAACTGGACCCTTATGACAGGTTTTGCGCTCCAGGGTCACACATGTGTTGTGTGATTGATCTGCACACAGGAGCGGTGGCTGGATGGTTTCTCCAGTGACTCCAGACGTGTCTCTGCAGGCCTGCCGTGGGCCGCACATACCTCGGATCAAGGTGTGTTGTCCTGAGGCAGAGATCCAGCTCCTGCAGGCATGAGAAGCCAGAGAGCGTGTGCGCTGAGATCTGGGCCTGTAAAAACAAGCTCTGGATCAGCTTTCTGTAGCCTTCAGCTGCATCAGACAACAAACCCACACAGCAGACGTGTGTCCAAACCTCTGAACTTCAGCCAACACGTGTCCAAACTCCATCAAACCATCCTCAAATTACTTCAGTGAGATTACTGTGGGTTACCAGAGGTGGACAGTAGTGAAGTATTCTTACTTTATTCAAATACATTTAAAAAGTATCACTACTTTATCTGAGTGTTTTTCTTTGGAAAACATTTACTTCTCTACATTCCAAAGCATTATGTCATACTTTTTACTACACTACATTTCATAAATTAAAGTTGTTGTTTTTTTCCTTACCTTTAATACGTAAGAACATTCAAAATGTCCCAGGTGAAAAAAATGCACTTCTATAATATTCTTAAAGTGCTCTATCTTCACGCACTAATTTTGTACTTAATATACTAAAAAGTTATATTTAGTTTCCACTTGTAGTACACTTGAACCCATCTTTCATACACTAGTACACTACTACAAGTGCTGACTAAATGCATTTTAAATACAGAGATAGTATGTTAACAGCGCATTTTAGTTCATATTCATGGTGCCCCAAAATAGCATAATTTTTAGTATATTAAGTACAAAATTAGTGAGCGAAAGTAGAGCACTTTAAGTACATTATGGAAATGCAGTTTTTTTCCACCTGGGGTAGTACTTTCTTGTACTCAAGTGAATCTTTGAATTACTTTTACTTGAGTACTAGATTTCTAATGTAATTAAGTATTAAATGATATTTATATAAAACGTTGTACAGTAAAAGTACAATATTATGCTTTGGAATGTTGTGAAGTAAAGTTTCTAAGGAGAAACACTCTGATAAAGTACAGACGCTTGAAAAGTACTGTTAAAGCAGAGTAAAAATACTTCACTACTATCTGCCTCTGACTGTTA